AGTTTGTTTCTCGGAGTCCGTAGTCTTTCATGGTTCATCTCCCCTTCTGATACTCCCCCCTTCATTTTTCCCTTCCTTCTCCTATTGTCCTCCATGTTATTCCTTATGTTCCACATATAAGTGAAACCATATGATAATTGTCTTTCTTTGCTTGACTTCTTTCTTTTTTTTTTTTAATAAAAGATTTTATTTATTTATTTGACAGAGAGAGACACAGCGAGAGAGGGAACAGAAGCAGGGGGAGTGGGAGAGGGAGAAGCAGGCTCCCACAGAGCAGGGAGCCCGATGCGGGGCTCGATCCCAGGACCCCGGGATCATGACCTGAGCCGAAGGCAGACGCGTAACAACTGAGCCACCCAGGGGCCCCTTGACTTATTTCACTTAGCATAATCCCCTCCAGTTCCATCCATGTCAATGCAAATGGTGGGTATTCATCCTTTCAGAATGAAATTCTGACATGTATTATACCATGGATGAACCTTGAAAATATTAGGCTAAGTGAAATAAGCAAGACCAAACCAAACTGAACCAAACCAAACCAAACCAAACCAAACCAAACCAAACCAAACCAAACAAAAACCCTGTATACTTTCACTTATATGAGGTACCTGGAACAGGAAAATTCATAGAGCTGGAAAGTAGAACAGGGATTACCAGGGCCTGGGGGAAGTAGAAATGGGGAGCTATTGCTTAACAGACAGGATAATCAAAAAGCTCTAGAGGTGTGGAGTGATGGAAACAAACATACATACTGATGGGGAGAATATAAATTGACATATTGGACAACAGTTTGGCGTCATCTAGCAAAGTTGAAGACACACATACCTTATTACTGGCAATTCCACTGCTATATGGCTATATATCTTAAAGCAGAGGTTTCCAAAGCAAGATCCCTGGAGATCCTCAAGCTTCCTTCGGGGGACCTGCAAGGGCAAAACTATTTTCTTAATAATACTAAGAGGTTATTTGTCCCTTTTCACCGTGTCAACGTTGGTTCTGATAGTGGAGAAACAGCGGGTGGGTAAAGCAGCTGGTGCCCATGCATGAATCAAGGCAGGGGCACCCGTGGGGCTAAAGCCGTATTCTCCACCACCACACACTTGCGGTAGAATAATTAATAATAATAATGATGATGATGATGATGATGATGACAACGATGATGCTAGTTTCACTTAAGGTTATCCTTGACAAAGAAGTAAAAATTATTAATTTTATTAAATCTTGACCTTTGTGCTGTGTGATGAAAGAAAAGGTAGGTGTGAGTAAAATTCTGCTGTTGCATACCCAAAAATGACATTCTCTTGAAAAACAGTACTGAAGTTGTAAGCAGAAGTAGGTAGGCTTTTTTTTTTTTTTTTTTAATTAAATACCGTTTTTACTTGAAGACATGATGGGTAGAAAAACGTGGTTATTCAAATTGGATCATCTGGCAGATATTTTCTTAAAAATGAATGAAGTAAGTCTGACACTTCAGGGAACACTGGACATTAGTTGTTGCCAATGACAGAGTTTTGAGCTTTCAAACTAAAACTAGAATTTTGGAAAACTTGTATCCATCACTGTGAGCTGGTCAACTTGCTAATGCAAATCACTAGTGGTATTAGCAGATGCAATTTTTAAAATATCATATAATATGCCAACATTTGGAAGATTTGTAAGGCTTAGTATACCCATGTATTTCAAATGATCACCATGATGTTACAAAATCACAAATAATTGAAAGATCTACTCAAAGCGCAAGCTCAACCAGTGGATTTTAATGTAACAGAGCTCAGAGAGGTGACTGAATAGTTTCAGATTCCACATTGTAACTAACCTTTAAGAAATTACCACTCATTGAGTTTTGCTGTAGCACAAAGAATATCAACAATTAGCGGCAAAGCCTATTAAAATATTTCTCTCTCTTCTAACCACAAATCTATACAAAATTAGATTTTCTCCTTTACACAGAACAATATATCACAACACATGGAATTTTTTTGAAATCAACAAATCATAATATATTTATATTAATCTATTGGGCTTGCCCATTTTGTGGTATAAATATCCTCACCATGAATGATTTTGAGCTACCAATGTGATTTTACAGAATGTAATATTGGGAAGAGATGGGCACCGTTGGCTCTCATGAGCTGCTATGACCTGGCTCCAGAGCCCAGTACAATTCATATTTTAAAAAGCCTATTGAGATACCACCTTACACCAGTTAGAATGGCAAAAATGGACACGGAAAGAAACAACAAATGTTGGAGAGGTTGTGGAGAAAGGGGAACCCTCTTACACTGTTGGTGGGAATGCAAGTTGGTACAGCCACTTTGGAAAACAGTGTGGAGGTGCCTCAAAAAATTAAAAATAGAGCTACCCTATGACCCAGCAATTGCACTACTGGGCATTTACCCCAAAGATACAGATGTAGTGAAAAGAAGGGCCACATGGACCCCAATGTTCATAGCAGCAATGTCCACAATAGCCAAACCCATGGAAGGAGCTGAGATGCCCTTCAACAGACGAATGGATAAAGAAGATGTGGTCCATATATACAATGGAATATTCCTCAGCCATCAGAAAGGATGAATACCCAACTTTTGCGTCAATATGGATGGAACTGGAGGAGATTATGCTAAGTGAAATAAGTCAAACAGAGAAAGTCAATTATACGGTTTCACTTATTTATGGAACATAAGGAATAGTATGGAGGACATTAGGAGAAGGAAGGGAAAAATGAAAGGGGGGAATCAGAGGGGGAAAAGAACCATGAGAGACTATGGACTCCAGGAATCAAACTGAGGGTTTTAGAGGGGAGGGGTTGGGGGGATGGGTTAGCCCGGTGAAGTGTATTAAAGAGGGCACATACTGCATGGAGCACTGGGTGTAATATGCAAACAACGAATCATGGAGCACTACATCAAAAACTAATGATATAATGTATGGTGACTAACATAACATAATAAAAAAAAATCTGAAAAAAAAAATAAATAAATAATTTAGGACCCCTTTGGGTCCTAAATAATTTTTAAGAAACTAGAAATTTGAGAACCACGACCCTAGAGAAATGGCTGTATCTGGGTTCCAGGAGACATGTACAAAAAAGTCAAAGAACCACAGCTACAGGCAACATGAGTGAATCTTAAAAATATTATCTGTAGGGACACCTGGGTGGCTCAGTCAGTTAAGCATCTGCCTTCGGCTCAGGTCATGATCCCATGGTCCTGGGATCGAGTCCCACATCATGCTCCCTGCTCGCCGGGGGGAGTCTGCTTCTCCCTCTCCCTCTGCCTCCTCCCCCCACTCATGCTCTGTCTCTCTTTCTCAAATAAATAAATAAAATCTTAAAAAAAATATTAACTGTATTGAGGAAAAGAAACCAGATTCAAATGAATACATGCTATACAGTTCCATTTATACCAACTCCACAAACAGGCAACATTAGTGTATACGAAGGCATCCTTTGGTGCTCAGCATAAAAAAAAAAAAAAGCAAGGAAGTGACAGCTACGGAAGTCAGGTTGGAAAGGAGGAGGTGTGGGGTTTTGCTCTACTGTAATTCATTTATCTGTACATTTATTTTTTTATTTTTTTTTTTTAAGATTTTATTTATTTGACAGAGAGAGATACAGCAAGAGAGGGAACACAAGCAGCGGGAGTGGGAGAGGGAGAAGCAGGCTCCCCGCCGAGCAGGGAGCCCAATGTGGGGCTCGATCCCAGGACCCTGGGACCATGACCTGAGCTGAAGGCAGACGCTTAACGACTGAGCCACCCAGGTGCCCCATGTACATTTATTTTTAATGTACCTGTTCATATTGTGTTACATTTTATAATTAAAAGTTTTTAAAAATGGAATTATACAGAACACATGACTCCCCTGTACTTGGATTGGAAGGGCATCGCCCCCTTCCTGGCTCTAGCCTGCCCAGACCACTGTCCCTGCCAAATAGAGGTTTGCCATGCTCTGCGGTGTGTCTTCATGTCCTTTCCCCACCACATGGTTGGTTTCAAGAGGGAACAAATGGTTTCTTGGAGTTCCTCTACTTTTGTTTAAAGACTGTTGGGAAAATACATTCTCTGAATTGCCTACTTGAAATTGGATGTCTTCATTTGTGGCAAGTGAGACTACAGCGTTCTGCTTCTTTAATTCAACCATATCAGAGACACCTTTCTCTGTTAGCATTTTGTAACAACTACAGAGTATTTCATTATATAGATGTACCATAATTTATTGAACCAGCCCTCCCTCAATAGATAGGTTGTTCCTAATTTTTTTTGCTTAGTGAATAAACAAAATAATGGCTTTTCTCCCATTGGACCTCAGAGGGGTCCCTCTGTGGGGATGGGACCCTGGTCTAGTCACTGATGCATTACACACACAGCTCAGTGCCCAAGATGTAGCATGTGTTCAATAAAATGATTGTGAGGTGAATGAAGACTAACCGAATGAACCACATGGTATCAGTTTGAGCACAAAGATAGGATTCTTTGTGGAAGCCCCTTGGGCAAAGGGGCAGACGAGCACTGAGTGGAGCCCAGGGGTCTAGGCCTGAATCAGAGTGGATTCAGATCCCAACTCTCCCACATGGGTGACTTTAAACAGCTACTTAATCTCTCCTTGCTTCACTGCTCTCATCTGTAAAATAGGTATAAAGTGGCATCTGCTTCATAGGGCTGCTATGAGAATTAGATGAGTGACTACATGCAAATGTCTCCGCATGGGCCTAGCACATCAGCACTAGAGTAATAGAATTAGTAATAGAATGTGATAATCTCAACTCATCCTTATAAAAGTACCCCAAGGATGATGCCTCTCACAGGGTGACAACACGAAAACGAGGTCCTTCTGGGCCTTCATTTGTGGTGGTTATTGTTGGTTCGATTTGCTTCTATGGGGCCGGTTTTTCTCCTGAAGAATCAGCTTCCCCCTTAAGGAGAGTATTTGTAGGCACAGCCTATCACCATGGAGACAGTCAACAGTAGGGAATCCAAGATCGGGTCACCTCTCCTTGGAGGCTGAAAGTAGACTCTCGGGCCCATTTGTTTTGTGAAATTGACAGAGTGTCATCATCTATACCCACTCAGAAGGGCATCTGGGAAGATGAAAAAGACACCCTAAACTCAGCAACTGCGTAACATCTCCCCGCTCCTGAAACCTGAAACTGTGGCAAGTCGAAAGACTCAGGGCAAACACTTACCATGCAGTTTTTGACTGCAGTAAGTCCACAGTCCTTCTCTACCCCAAGCTGGAAGGTCGAGACCAAGTATTCAACCCGAGTGCTCACTGGAAACTGGGTGGAAGAGAGGATGAAGGTAAGGAGTGGGAGAAAGTGGACAGAGGGCTTGCAGTGGCCTGGCAGGCAGAGATAAGAATGGGGTCATTACTATTTCCAAATTAAGGGTCACAGATGGTTACATCTTAAGAATGTGACATTAGGGTGTCTGTGCTCTTCACAGGGGAGTTACATGCAAGCCATCATCAAGGTCACCATTATATCTTGAAAATGCCATAGCAGAGGTGTCAACATAGCTGTGCCTCAGCATTATTTTCAGTGGAGTGTTTCCAGGCATCTGGTGTTCCCGTCCCTAATTGCTCTGCACCTTGATTTGCAGAGCGTCTGCTGTCCCTGGCCTGGCCCTTCCCAGAGTGGGGTACTTGCCAAGGCAGTCTTGTCACTCCCGGCATTCCTGTTCCACAACCTTGCGCTGCCTGTGAATTTCAGTTTTTACTTTCAAAACAGAACAGATGGGCTCTTGGTGTCCCCATGTACTTTAAAGGCCAACACAAAAATACTTTGCCTGAATTGGCCTACTTGAAATTGAATATCTTTATTTGTGGTGGCAATCAAGACTGAGTCACTTACATTTCTGCGGAGACATGGAGATATCCTCATGTCTTCTTGGGAAATGGGCAAGAGGACGATACACAATTGGTAATTTTGGTGGGGAAGGGTGGTGGTGACTTCTGAGAACTGGAAAAGGCTGTTTTGGGGGAGAACATTTGCATTCACCACCCCTCCGGCTAGATGTGGCCTGTGGCCATTGTTAGTTCTCATTGGACTTGGCCTTATTTGGGGAGCAGGTGTGTGTAAGAGAAGGTCCAAGGGCAGGAAGAACTGGCTGAGCAATCCCTCCAGGCTCCTGTGGGCGAGATAGCACCCACGGATAATATGGGCTGGTCCTACGCCTAGAAGAGGTCGCATGAAGAGAGCAGAGTTGGAGTGATATGAAAAATATGACAGACTAAGAAGCTCCAGCTCCTTACTCTCCCACAGAAATCCTTAAGAAACAACTATAGCCTAGCTAAAATAAGTATAAAAGAGTTCTGAAAAGCAGTCAAAGGTCCACAGCAGCCAAACAAATGCCCAATTTAGAGAAAGTCACATTCAAAATGGTAGTAAATTCCATGATATTTTTACTTGCTCTTTTCACATCTTCTCCTTAGAACAGCATGGCGTAGTGTAAGAGAAGCAGTGGCTCAGCTCCCGGTTCCTTCCCTTGCACCCAGAGAGAGTGGAGCAACATTTTAATCTGTCTGGAGGCCGCTTGAGGGATTGGCCCCTCTGCTTTGCTTAACTCAGACCTCAGATAAGGAAAAGTGTCTTAGTTCATGTTTCAGGCTAAGAAAAGCAGTTGAAAGCAGGGGTGGTTATAGCTGATGAAAGCTGCTAGGGGACTACAGACCTGTGAAAGTCTGAGGCCGGAGATTGCAGGTGGAGAAATGCAACAGAACATAAAAGGCCTTGAGAAGAAGCAGGGGAGACACTCTTGGGGAAATTAAAGCATTTTAAAGTAGCTGTGTATATAGACTAACTAAAAAAGCACACCACACACACACACACACACACACACGGGTTCAGGCAAGATGCATGCTCAGAAAACTCCTGAGAACTTAAGACTTCATTCACCCTGGAACATGTCCTGTTAGTTAGTGGAGATCTTCCCTTAAATGGACTGGACAGAAACCTTAAAACAACTACCTTGAATATGCATAAAGAGCTAAAAGAAAACATGAACAAAGAACTAAAGGAAATCAGGAAAATAATATATGAACAAAATGAGAATATCAATAAAAAATAGAAATTATAAAAAGAAATCAAACAGAAATTATGGAGCTGAAAAATACAATAACTACATTGAAAAAAATTCACTAGAGGTGTTTGACAGTGGACTTGAATAGGCAGAAGAAAGAATAAGAGAACTTGAAGAGAGATCATTTGAAATTCTTGAGTCTGAGGAGACAAAAAAAGGAATAAAAAAATGAGAACAGAGTCTAAGGACTTACGGGTCACCATCATGAAGACCAGTATACACATTATGGGAGAAAAAAGAAAGGGGCAGAAAGAATATTTGAAGAAATAATGACTGAAAACTTCCTAAATTTGAAGACAAGACATGTGTTTACAAATCCAAGAATCTCTGTGAACTCCAGTAGGAAAAATCCAAAGAGACTCCCACAAAGACATATTATACTCAACCTGTTGAAAGTCAAATACAAACGAATTTGAAAGCAGCAAGATCAAAATGACACATCATGTACAAAGCAGCCTTTATAAGAATATCAGTAGATTTCTCAACAGAAACCTTGCAGGCCAAAAGGGGGTGGGGTGATATATTTAAAGTGCTAAAAAACAAAACAAGACCAAAAAAACCCCATAACATTTATCCACTGAGAATACTATAGCTAGCAAAACCACCCTTCAAAAATGAAGGAGGAACTAAAGCACCCCCAGATAAACCAAAACTGAAGGAGTTCATTACCACTAGGTCTGCCCTACAAGAAATGGAGCAATGCTAGACAGTAACCAAAAGCCATATGAAATAAAGACCTCTGGTAAAGGTAAACACATGGACAAATATAAAAACCACGATTATTGTAATTTTGGTTTGTAACTCCACTATTTTTATAGGATTTAAAAAACAAATGCATAAAGATAATTATAAATCTGTGTTAATGGGTACAAAATATATCAAGATGCAGTTTATGACATCAGTACCATAAAATGGGAGATGGCAGGGCTGTAACAAAGCAGAGTTTTTATATATGAGCTAAGTCAAGTTGGTGTCCATTTAAAATAGGTTGCTAAAAAGATTGTTATAACTTTAGGATGTTATGTGCAATCCCCATGATAACTACAAAGAAAATATCTCTAGAATATATATGAAAGGAAATGAGAAGGAAATAAAAATGTGTCATTGAAAATAACCAACTGAACACAAACAAAGGTAGTAATGGAGGAAATGAGGGACAAAAAAAATGCTGTAAGAAAACAAATTAAAAAATGGCAAAAGTAAGTCCTCCCCTGACAGTAATTACTTTAAATGTAAATAGATTAACTTTTCAATCAAAAGACATAGATTGGCAAAATGGTGGGGGGGGACTCAAAACCTAGGCTGCAACTATATGCCATCTATGAGACTGTCTTTAGATCTAAGGGCATGCATAGGTTGAAAGGGAAAGGACAGAAAAAGTTATCCATCCAAATAGCAACCAAAAGAGAGTGGGTTGGCTATACCAATATCATTAAAAAAATAGACCTTAAGTCAAAAATTGGTATAAGAGCCAAAGAAGGACAGTATATATTGAAGAAAGGGTCATGAAGAAATAGAAAATCTGAATAGATCTATAACAAGTAAGAAACAAAAACATCTCCAAAATACAAGTCCATAACTAGATGGCTTTACTGGTGAATTCTACTTAGCATTTGACTACCATAACATAACAAAGGCCATATATGAAAAGCCACAGCTAACGTCATACTCAATGGTAAAAGACTAAAAATCTTTTCTTCTAAGATCAGGAATAAGACAAGAATGTCTGCTTTGCCAGTTCTATTCAACATAGTATTAAAAGTTCTAGCCAGAGCAATTAGGCAAGAAAAAGAAATAAAAAACATAGAAATTGGAAGGGAAGAAGTAAAATTATCTCTGTTTGCAGATGACAGGATCTTATATGTACCAAACCTTAGAGACCACACATACACAAACAAACAAAAAAAAAAAACAAAAAACCCAGAAAAAAACTGTCAAAACTGATAAATTAATTTGGCAAAGTAGCAAGATACAAAAATCAACATGCAAAAATCGGTTGCATTTCTATACACTGACAATGAACTATCTAAAAGGGGGACGAAAAAAAAACAATTCTATTTATAATAGCACCAAAAAGATTAAAATACTTAGGAATAAACTTAACCACAGAAGCAAAAGACTTATATAATGAAAACTACGAAATATTGTCAAAAGAAATAAAACACAATGTCAATAGATGGAAAGATGTCCTATGTTCATGGATTGGAAGACACAATATCATTAAGATGTCATACTACCCAAAACTGGCAATCCCCAAAATCGATTTCCAGTTTCCAAATGGGAAATCAGTGCAATCCTTATGATTTTTTTTTTTTTGCAGAAATTAAAAAATCCACCTTAAAATTCATTTGGAATCTCAAGAAACTGAATAGCCAAAACAATCTTGAAAAGAAAAGAAGTACAAAGTTGGAGGATTCACATTCTCTGATTTCAAAAATTACTATGAAGCTATAGTAACCAAATATTGGGATACTGGCATAAAGGCAGGCATATAACAAATGGAACAAAATAAAGAGCTCAGAAGTAAGTCCTTACATATCTGGTCAAATGATTTAAACAGGGCTGGCAAGATCATTCAATGGTGAAAGGACAGTCTTTTCAACAAATGGTGCTGGGAAAACTGCATATCCAAACGTGAAAGAATGAAGTTGGACCCTTACCTTACACTACATACAAAAATTAATTCAAAATGGATCAACACCTAGATGTAAGACCTAAAACTGTAAAACTCTTAGAAGAAAACATAAGAGAAAACTTCATGACGTTGAATTTGGTAGTGATTTTTTGTATAGGACACCAAAATCATAGATAACAAAAGAGAAAGAAATAGGTAAATTGGACTTTCATCAAAATTGAAGATTTTTATTCATCAAAGAACACTATCAACAGAGTGAAAAGATAATTCATGGAAGGGGATAAAATGTTTGCCAATATTATATATGATAAAGGATTAATATCCAAAATATATAAAGAACTCCTACAACTCAACAACAAAAACACAAACAATTAAAAATGGGGAAAAACCTGAACAGATATTCCTCCAAGTTATGCAAATGGCCAATAAGCACATGAAAAGATGCCCAACATCACTAGTCATTAGGGAAAAGCAAATCAAAACTGTAAGATACCACTTCACACCCATTAGGATGGCTATGATAAAAAAAAAAAAAGAAAGAAAGAAAAAGAAAGCAGCAGATGGGGCGCCTGGGTGGCTCAGTTGGTTAAGCGACTGCCTTCGGCTCAGGTCATGATCCTGGAGTCCCTGGATCGAGTCCCGCATCGGGCTCCCTGCTCGGCAGGGAGTCTGTTTCTCCCTCTGACCCTCCACCCTCTCATGTGCTCTCTCTCATTCTCTCTCTCTCAAATAAATAAATAAAATCTTTAAAAAAAAAAAAAGAAAGTAGCAGGTGTTGGTGAGGATGTGGAGAAATTGGAACACTTGTGCATGATTAGTGGGAATGTAAATGGGGCAGCTGCTGTGGTAGACAGTATGGCAGTTGTTAAAAACATTAAACATAGGGGCGCCTGGGTGGCTCAGATGGTTACGCATCTGCCCTCGGCTCAGGTCATGATCTCAGGGTCCTGGGATCGAGCCCCGCATTGGGCTCCCTGCTCAGTGGGGAGCCTCCTTCTCCCTCTCCTTCTGTCATTCCCTCCGCTTGTGCTCTCGGGCTCTATCTCTCTGTCAAATAAATAAATAAATAAATCTTAAAAAGAAAAACATTAAACATAGAATGACCATATGACCCAGCAATTCCGTTTCTGGGTTTACACCCAAAAGAACTGAAAGCAGGATTTTGAAGAGAGATCTTCATACATCTGTGTTTGTAGCAGCATTATTCACAGTAGCCAAAAGGTAGAATGGATAAGCAAAATGTAGGGTATGCCTACAATAAAATATTACTCAGCCTTTAAAAGGAAGAAAATTCTTACACATGCTACACTGTAGATAAACCTCAAAAACATCATGTTAAGTGAAATAAGCCAGGCGTGGAAAGACAAATACTGTATGATTCCACTTGTATGAAGTACCTTGAGTAGTCAAATTCATAGAGACAGAGAACAGAATGGTGGGTGCCACGGGCAAAGGGCGGGAGCCATTTAATGGGCTGAGTTTTAGTTTGAGAAGATGAAGAAGTTCTGGAGCCAGGTGATGATGATGGTTGCATAACCATATAAGTGTACTTAATGCTACTGAACTGTGTATGTAAAAATGGTTAAAATGGTAGGGGCGCCTGGGTGGCTCAGTTGGTTAAGCGACTGCCTTCGGCTCAGGTCATGATCCTGGAGTCCCTGGATCAAGTCCCACGTCGGGCTCCCTGCTCAGCAGGGAGTCTGCCTCTCTCTCTGACCCTCCCCCCCTCTCATGCTCTCTATGTCATTCTCTCTCTCATAAATAAATAAAATCTTTAAAAAAAAAATGGTTAAAATGGTAAATTTTGTTCTATTTTACCACAATAAATTTAAAAAAAAAGGGAACCAGGAAACATAATATAATGGGGCGGGGGGTGGGGGGAAGAGTGGAACTGGGAAGAGGTGAGGAAAATAAAGAAAAAAAAGAGAGGAGGGAGGCAAACAGGAGGGGGGAGCAGGGAGAGAGAACACAAAGGGAACAGGTACAGAAGGTGAGAAGTGGTCAGGTGACCAGGAAAGTAAGAGCTTTCCTGAGGCGTGGGATGCCAAGTGCCTGAGCGCAGTCCTTTCTGAGCTTTGGAAGGGAGGGGGCAAAATTAAGCTTGCATTGTGAGGATGCCCTGGGCTCCGTGTTTACCCTTTCTCTGCCCAGCTTTCCCTAGCCCAGGAGGGAAAGGGATGCTGCAGAAGTGGGAGAAGCTGCATCACAGAAGTTATCCTGACCATTTCGTCTCTTTCAGTTCACCAAAGCCCCGGAGGAAACACCTCAGTGCATTTACAGAAAAGAGTACGTCCCCTTCCCAGGCCACAGACCAGACCAGATCTCCAGGTGGTATGGCAAGAAGAGAATTGAGGTACGAGGGAGTGGGGGCCCCACACTCAGGTCTGGGCTCACCCCAGTGCTCAGGAGCCACCACCTGCCAGCTTCTTCTAAGCTCAGTTCCCCCTAGGGGACACAGTAGTAGTCTTGTGAGCACCCTCCCCAACCCAGGGGCTGCGGATGGCATCCACCTTTATTTACAATCTGCCAAATCTCAAACTGGTAGCATTCCCCCCCCACCCTGTATCCCAGCACTGTCCTGGATCATTTTCCAGTTCCTCCAGGTTCTCCCAACAGGATGTAGGCAAAGGGTGTGGGAAATAAACAAGCAAGGTAAATACCGAGTTAAGGGGAACATAGAAATCACATAAGGTCCTCCAAAAGCGAGTAGCGGTGATGCTTGGATGACAGTATTTTGTATCTTCTATGCCCCAGCTTCCTGTTCTTTTGTATAAAAAGTCAGGGACCATTCTGCCCTCTCTCACTCATTGAGTGCGTGCCCTTGTGTCGCAGGTCCCCGGAGCAGGAAGCAGGGCACTGCGACCTCAGGACATGTCCCCCGACCCGCACCCCCCAACCCCATACCTGCCTAAACTCAGGGTGGGGGCACAGAGTGAGGGGTGGGCAGTGTCAGGATGGGAGCATTTTGGAGCTGGAAGGGTTCCAAGAGATTGTTCAGCTCAGCACCCTCATTTGCAGATAAAAGGCACCCCGGGTGTGGTGAATGTCTTGTCCAAAACTGTGTAGCTGGTTGGTAAGAGACTAAGCAGGTGGCTTAGGATACTCAAGCAAGTATCCTCACATCCCTCTTCATTATCTGCTGGAGTGGACTCTGTCTTCTGCATTCTGGAGTCATCTCTGTATAAACAGCACCACATTTTCAGCTCTGTGTGGGCATCCCTGGATTGCACGGATATCCCTGGAGTACGCCAGCATCCACAGACCATGCTGACGCCCTGGGGATGCCAATCGTTACCATGAGTGAGCCCTGAAGACCCAAAAGCATGCTCACAGAAGGAAGTCAAAATAAGAGCCCATGATCTGGGGCTCCTGATCCCCAGTCATCAATATATATGAGGTACTTAGCCTAGTTCTCAGTACACATTCATGCCCTTCTTAAAGTCTTTTGGACTCATTACAAACCCTGATGAAGAGATAACCACACACACACACACACACACACACACACAGAATCTGGTTAAGGGGCCTCTGGGTGGCTCACCCACTTAAGCGTCTGATTCTTGATTTTTTGCTCAGGTCATGATCTCGAGGTCATGAGATCGAGCCCGGAGTTGGGCTCTGCACTGGGCTGGGAGTCTGCTTGGGGATTCTCTCTCTTCCTCTCCCTCTGCCCCTCCCCCTGCTCTCTTCCTCTCTCTCTCTCAAATAGTAAATAAATAAATCCTTATGTAATCTGGTTAAAATTAAGAAGTCCCCTGCCAACATATACACAAAATAGAACCAAGCAATCAGATATCCATTTCCAAGGACTCTGTTCAAAACTCCTGCTTGTGTGCGGGGACCCTGGACATAGCACTGCCCCACACAGCAGCTTCAACCCATCAGCTCTTTCGGGTACTTCATCCTGCTCTTCCTCCTAGGACAGCCAGCTCCCATCCCCACTTCACACTTCCTCCTTCTTAGACAAATGCATATCTGCTCTTTCAATTGACTATGGATCGATGGGGTTAGCATCACCCAGAGAGGACCCCCTTCCTGTGCTTTTCCACTAGGCAGGTATATTCATCGCATTTTTTGTGTTCTGAATTTTAGATGGTTTGACATCTTAGGGGCCGTGCTAATCCTGGACAGACTGCCCTCCCAAGGCTGGCTAGTTCCTACAGACAGCAAACAGCTTGCCTGGAAGCATGCCTTTGGGATACAAACCAACCAATCCAGAGCCCACACCCCAACCACCTCTTTTATGTAACGTTCACATGCCAAGCCAATATCCCTTTGCCTTAAATCACTCCAGGGCCAGGCACCAATAACCGGAAGCATCTCTTTAGCTGAAATCTAACTCTGCAATCCTAAACTTCTCAAACTTGCTTACCCTGCCTCACCTTGTTCCTTCCCTTGGAAAACACATGGAGGTCCTGGGCCATGCTCTCTCTCTCTCCTGCTCCTTCTTCGACACTGGTGCTTCCCTATGTGGTCCCGTGTGGTGCCCCCTCCTCTCAGGAATTGAAAGTAATAAACTTTCTTTTCTTTTTTTTAAAGATTTTATTTATTTATTTGACAGAGAGAGACACAGCGAGAGGGGGAACAGAAGCAGGGGGAGTGGGAGAGGGAGAAGCAGGCTTCCCGCGGAGCAGGGACCCCGATGTGGGGCTCGATCCCAGGACCCTAGGATCATGACCTGAGCCGAAGGCAGACGCTTAATGACTGAGCCACCCAGGTGCCCCAGTAATAAACTTTCTAAATCATTTTTTTCCAAGGCAGTTGTCTCTCTATCTGTCACCTGATCATACCTGATCAAAACAAAAATCTCAGGTTCATCATCAAGACAGCAGGGCCGTGCCCCAAGCCAAGAAGAATAGCAAGAAAATCCCTTTCTCCTTTTCCCTGCTGTGATGCCTTCTCAGCACTTCCCTGGGTTCATGGGAACCCCTCCAACTTGCTTTCCCTGGCATTGGACCTGTACTCCCGGCACCTGGTGATGCGGATCTTGGGAACCCCTGCCTAATGTCTGTGCCTGTCCCCTTCGTCTCCCTTTGGCATTGTGATCTGGCTTATTTATGGAACCACCACTTGAAATATTATGTGCACCTGGCATTTCCAGACCAGAGCAGACACAGACCTCCCTGTCTGCTCCAGACATGAGGACAGGCATGGAAATCCACATTATCCTCCCCTGTAAATCAGCCCAGTCCTCCAAGATTCCCTTCCAGGGCCAAGAGGATTTTCTTCGGAAAGGCACTGATGCAGGCAAACGTCCCAGAGTAAGGAGGACACGGCTTTCTTCTCCTTGTAAATAACTCCCACTAAAGAAATCACTCCTCGGGTTTCCAGCCAAGGGAACCATAAATCCTTTGCAGGAGAAGGCAATTTATGGAGCGTTCTCTGACTCTTCCCATAGTAACTGATTGAAATACAAGGTGTATATGTCATGCTCAGTATTCAATGCCTTTCACTGGCCATGGCAATAGGCACTTGGGTGGAGGAGCCTGGAGACACATCAGAGGGTGTAATTTCAGATCACAAGGGCAGCAGTGAGATGGTTCTGGCTCTTCCTATTCAGCTGGGTGTCCTGCCTTTCATTTTAATGTGTCCCCATAGCCCATTCTAGGGATGAATTGACTTGGCATGCGTTGGGCGCCCCCAGATGGAGAACTGACTGCCGCGAAGCTGGGATGTGTGTGTGACGGTGAGCTGCGTCCTGGTGGGCCAGACAACTGTGTCTCCCAGGTGGTGGCCCCGGGGGCTCAGGCAACAACCCTCAGCTTCACACACCTCCGAGGCGGCAGCTTCTCCCTCCGTCCGCCGCCCTGTGGATGCCTTGCTCCGATCGGTTAACACGCCCACTGTGTCTGTCCCTCCAGGGGCTCCCGTACAAACACCTGATCACGCACCACCAGGAGCCCTCCCACCGCCATCTGATCAGCACCTACGATGACCATTACAACCGGCACAATTACAACCCCGACCTGCCCGCGCATCGCACCTGGAGTGGACATAAGATGCTGTGGCTCCCAGAGAAGTCCGACTTCCCCCTTCTCGGTATTCATATAATTCAGGATTTCGCCCTGTGCTGGGCAGTGAGGCGTCCACAGCTGCCCTAGGGCTGTGGATGCTGAAAGACTCACACAGAGAGCATTAGTGTGACCCGGAAGGGGGGAGAATCCTACTGACCCGCAGGGCTGCTGCTTGCCACGGAGGTGACGTGGGCTGTGTGGTGAAGCCCTCACCTGTCCGCCATGCCAGTCTGGGTTTACTGGGAGCACGGATGCCAGGGACAGCATCACTGCCCTCAGATCCATCATCTTTGCATAAACAGTGACGACTGGTGCCCCGGGGCCCCGCACTAATGTAGCACCTGGGGGACACAGGAGTGACAAACGGGGAGGAATTCCTGCCCTTGGGAGAGTTGTCATTCCAGTGGGTCCCAGATAAGACACTGTTAATGGATAAGATCTGGTGAGTAAGATCATTCTGGACCACCATATATGTGCCACGAAGTGAAGATGCCAGGTAAGGAACACAAAGTGAGGCAGGTATTTGTGAATCTCCTTTGGGTGGAACGATGAGGGATGGTCTTTCTGGAAGAGAGAGTTGAGTTGAGAAGGAGGGAGCCATATAGGAATTGGGGAGTGGGGGGAGAATTCCAGGGGAGGAAATAGCAAGTGAAGATGCTCCACAGCAGGAAGACCACTTCGGGGCTCATAGGCCACCACGAGGAGTGTGGATTTTGTCCTTCCAGGAGCAACAGGACTTTGAAGGGATTTTTGTAAGAGAGTGCCTTGATCTGATTTACATTTCAAGCTACCGTCCTTCTTTGCATGCAACTTTTTGTACTCCCTACCCTTCAATGCAAAGGGACCTGCGTCTTATGGTGAGTGGCTTGTCACTCCTCATTACTTTTGCAAGGGTTTCTCCTCGGGATCGCTCTCACAAGCCTGCACTGCTCCCTTCCCTGCTAGGGTAGGACAGTCCCCCAGGAGCCGGCAGGGCCACCCTCCGCCAGTCGAGCGGCTGACTTTTCCGAGGCCTATGTACCAGCGCCTGGTTCCTCCTGAGTACGCGGGGAACCGACCCCACCCTGAGCCAACACTCCTGCAAGCCCTTCTTCCCTCCGGAACCAGCCTCGGTCCCGGATACTGCAGCCCTGGAAAACACGTTCTTCTGGCCCGTCCACGCGCCATTCACCCAGAGCCTGGTTTCTCTTGCAGCTCCCCCTACAAACTATGGACTCCGTGAACAGCTGCAGCAGAGATGGCTCGCACCCAAGGCTGCCCCGAGGGAGAGCATTTACACCTCATCCTACCCCAGACCACCACCCTATGCTTTGTCCCGGCGGGAACATGCCATCCCCGTCCCTCCCCCTCGTCTGCACCCTGTCCCACGCTTCTGAGAGCTGCCAGGCCCCGGGCAATGCAGGCAGAGCAGCCGGAGCCCCACTGTGCTGTCCAACTGGCCAGGCAGCCGGCAGCCTGCAGACCCACCCAGAGTTTTAAATCCGGCCCCGCCGAGGGGCCCTTAGAATCATGGTCTGTGTTTGAAAGTTTCGCCCCTCCTCCAAACCCTCAGGTTCCTTTCTTTTCCATCCCACAAGTAAAGCTCTTTGACAGAATGGAGTGTCACGTATATGCAGAATTGTGCAGAATGGCAGAAGGCCCTCTCCCTCGTTTCACATGAGGGGAAACTGAGGCCCAGAGAGGTAACATGATTCCTGCAAGTTCTCGCAGTGGGGTACCTACCCTCCAGGAGTGTCTGGTCCATACAGAAGGGGATCTGACCACGAGACCCACCGCAGAGCTCCATGACATAGTAGAACGTGGTTATGGGAGGGCACCCCGTGGGAGCTGGCCGTCGGGGAGGGGTCCAGCCCGTCATTGCCTCCCCAGGGGTGCGCTGAACCCAGGATTCAGAGGAAGCAAGACACACAGCACTCCCTTCCACCTCTGAGCTCTTAAATCCTTTTCCGGGTTTGAGGATGGGGAATTTTTCAGCGAGTGTTTCAGAATGAGGATTGGCCCGCAGACAGAAGATCCGGGGCACTGTCCTGGTTCAGGGACTTGGTGCTGTCCTCACCAAGGATGGAGTCCCCTGAGGCACGTTCTGCCACCTGATGTGGAGTCCGGCCTCCAGATGAGCACGGCCGGCCCGCATCTGCCCCGTCAGGGCGGTGTCCGAATGGCCTTCTCTGCCTTCTGCCTCCACCCCGATTATCTGCATTCATTACTGTAGGCTCTGCGCTCGGTGTTTTGGGGCTCTTCTCTGGACCCACGCTCACCCCGATCACCCCGACCCAGTCATGTTCCACACTCTGAGCCCACGTCTAGCTGCTTCCCCACACCCCTGCCCCAAGGTGGACCTCTGTCCAGACCCCAACCCATCTTGATGCCTAAAGACCCCTTATTCTTCCCAGAAGTCAGCTACTCCCATTTCTGCGTCAGAGAAAAGTGAGCCCCCCAACCCTCCCCCCCAGAACCCTCCTGCCAGCATCAGAGAGGAGGTCACCTCTCTGCTCCTCCCTCCGTCCATCCGTGGCAGGGCATCAATACACTTCTGAGGCCCTGCCAGCTCATCTCACAACCACCACTACAAACGGTTGTTTTTTTTCTGCTTTGGAGAAAAAGAAATGAATAGAAGTATTTTTCCATGAATCTTTTCCTTACATTTTTGGCACCTACTACCACATTCTAGCAAATAATCAAGAAAAAAAAAAAAAAAAAAAACAAAGGCAAGAAAAAAACAAATCATATTTATTCTGGGTTGAACAAGCAGTTCAACAAAAGCCAGGATCTAGGCCTAAACGAGATTATCTCATTGACTTGTTGCTACCGTCGTCCATGGTAGGTGCCCCAAGGTAGGGATTATAAACGTTATTTCTGTTTACAGAAATGGGAACAAAGAACAGAGACAACAGAGATTAACTGGCTGGCCTGATACTGTGCACGTAATGAATCCTAGAGCTGGGATTTGAACCTAGGCGGGCTGGTCACCGAGCATGCATGCTTAGCCCTTGTGCAAACTGTCTCTTCAAAGAAAGAAAAGCCTTGAGACCAGCTGGACGTGTTGGTCTGCTGTGCATTTGGCTCAGGGACATGTGTGTGTGGTTGGCTGTGATTCTGGACCGGAAATAATGTGACTCAAAGTAGAGGAAGACTGGGTTCGGGCCGTCCCTTTCAAGGACACCTGCCGGCCCCAGGCCTCCTCTAGGTTGACCTGAGCACACTCTAGAGCCATCACTCACTCCTCCAAGAGTCTGTTCACTGACCCTGTCTTCCCTACCAGACTCAAAGTTCCCTCAAGTCAAAGCCTGGCACACACGAGGTGCTGAGTCCTGTTTGCTGAAAGAGTGGTGGGAGGAAGGGAGTAAAGGAGGCTGGGCCAGGAGAAGAGCTCCAAGTGGTTGCCGTGGGCTGCCATCCCGCTGGGCACCCCGCTGGGCCCGCCAGCAGCCACTCGGCTGTCCCACAAACATCCTTTGAGCTGTGGTCGAACCACACACTGACATCACAGAGCCTTCCATCAGGCAGAGGAGAGGGATCTTAAACAAATACAGGACAGGACAGAGTGATGTTGGGGACAGGTTTACGGAATTCGGGACCTTGGTAGCCAGTGTGTCGTGAGGGAGATCAGTGGGGTGTCCTGAAGCAAAGGGATCTTGAGAGCAATAATGGGGGCATGGAGACATGATCTATCAGGGAAGCCTTCCCCGAAGAAGGGGTATTCAGGCAGAGGCCCGAACACTGCCGGGGGGGGCGGGGGAGTGGAGGACTAGCCAGGTGCAGGGGCAGGTGGGGAGGGCAGAGGGGTGGCCTAGATCGCAGGAACAGCATGTGTGAGGCTCCGTGCTGGGAAGGAGCTTAGCAGGTTTGTTAAAAGCCTGAAAGATGGTGTATGGGTTCCCTACCGCTGCTCTAACAAATACCACAAACTTAGTTGCCTAAAGCAACATAAGTTTATTCTCCTACAGTTCCGGAGGCACTAAGTCCACAATGGGTTCTTCTGGAGGCTCTAGGGGTGAATGGGTTCCTTGCCTTTTTCTGCTTCGAGGGGACACCTACACTCCCCGACTCATGGTCTCCCCTCTCTCTTTCCAGAGCTGCAAGCAGTGTAGCATCTTCTCTCTCCACCTCCCTCCTGGGAGGACCCTTGTCAATACACAGGGTCCTGGATCATCCAGGATAATCCCTCCATCTCAAATCCTTAGTCACATCGGCGAAGTTCTTCTGGAATATAAACTAACATATTCAGAGGTTCGGCGGGGGGGATGAGGATGCAGGCATTGATTCAGTGTGGGGGGGTGCATTGTTCATCTGGAGCCTGGATGCAAGGCAGGAGTCCTGTGCACTCAGCGTGTTCCATCACTTAACCCCCGAGACATATCTAGTCCTTTTCAGGCGACTGGGAAGGCAAAGGGGCAATGGTGGGGGTGGGGGGTGGGGTGAAGGAGCCCAAGCCCTGTGGCTGCCTGCATGGGTCAGCACTCCTTGGCCTTCCACACACTGGAAGTGGCTTTAAGGGCGCCTGGGTGGCTCAGTTGGTTAAGCGATTGCCTTCGGCTCAGGTCATGATCCTGGAGTCCCGGGATCGAGTCCCGCATCGGGCTCCCTGCTTGGCAGGGAGTCTGCTTCTCCCTCTGACCCTCCCCCCTCTCATGTGCTCTCTCTCTCTCATTCTCTCTGTCTCAAATAAATAAAATAAAATCTTAAAAAAAAAAAAAAGTGGCTTTAGGAGCGGCTGTGTGGCTCAGTCAGTTAAGCGTCCGACTCTTGATTTCGGCTCAGGTCATGATCTTGGAGTCGTGGGATCGAGCCCCGAATCCGGCTCTGTGCTCAGCAGGGAGTCTGCTTGAGATTCTCTCTCTCCCCACCCTCCCTCCCTCTCAAAAAAAAAAAAAAAAGAGAGAGAGAGAGACTATATAAACAAAACACTACAGTGGCCAGAAGTACGAATTTGAAAATCAGATTGAAACACTGTAACCAGATTACCAAATTGGGCTGCACAACCCGTAGCAGTGGCCCCAGTGAAACCAGGGGGGAGGATCACCCAATCTTTTCCAAAGGAGTGGAAAGGAGAGTGAGGATCTTTTCCCCACATCCCTGCTTCAGCTCGATTCTCAAACTTGAGTGGCATTAGCACAGCTGGACAGGGGCGGGGTTCTTGCCCTCTGAGTTTGTGGATCAGTAGGTCTGGGGTGGGGCCAAGAAGTCACAGTCCCTGCAAGTTCTCCGGTGACGAAATCTCTGCTGATGCTGCTGGTCTGGGGAACATACCCTGGGAACTACTCTAGGAGGCTGCCTTCTTATTTTACTTGTGCAATTTCTTTGGAATAACAGATTCTGGCATGAAAACAGTGTGGCAAACACCTGGACCTGACTTTCCCTAAGGCTTCCCAGCAACAGCAGGAGCCTCCGTCTCCAGGATGTATTACAAAGTACAAAGTGAACAGTCCATCTCCAGGTGCTGGGACAGCACGGTGAAAGGTTCAAGAGCACTGACCGCTGTGCCTTAGAATTCCAGTTTCACGCGGACAGGCTGTGTGACCTTGAAGAAGTTACTGCCCCTCTCTGAATCTCTCTTCCTCTAGCCATGGGCACAGTAACTATTTCTAATGCAGAGAGAAATACTGAGCCCAGAGCTTGGTACATAATAAACCCTCCGTAAATGGTGGCAACTATTGTTCAAAAAAACAACAGTCAAGAAAACAGCCAAGGTCATGGAGGACAGCTGAGACCTGAGGCAGAGTGTATTCTTGTGCCAGGCTTTCCCTCCGTCCAGACAAGATGCTTTTCCCCGAGGAACCTGGCACTTTCTCAGAGCCAAGCCCCAGAGGCACCCCCTGGTGCTGTCCCACTGGCTGGGACAAGCCTGCCCCCTGCTGGCCAATTTGACACCAATATACAGGCAGCTATGGTTTCAGGCTCAGGGTTTCTCTGGGATTGGCACTAACTGCAGATGTGAAAGTAATTCAAAACCAGATTTTCTGATTGTTATTGGAAAACATCTGGCAGCTGGTGGTGAGCCTGGGTGTACCGATGCTTGGAGAATTCAAGCATGAATTTTTTTTTAAGTTTTTATTTTGATCACCCAGTGCTCATCACGAAAAGTGCACTCCTTAATTCCCAGCCCCTATTACCCCCATTCCCCCGTCCACCACCTCCCCTCTGGCAATCATTAGTTTGTTCTCTATAGTTAAGAGTCTGTTTCTTGGTTTCTCTCTCTCTCTCTCTCTCTTTTTTTTTTTTAATATTTTGTTATTAATCAGAGAGAGAGAGAGAGCACAAGCAGGGGGAGCAGCAGAGGGAGAGGGAGAAGCAGACTCCCCGCCGAGCCGGGAACCCGACTCGGGACTCGATCCCAGGACCCTGGGATCATGACCTGAGCCGAAGGCAGATGCCCAACCAACTGAGCCACCCAGGCGTCCCAGTTTCTCTCTCTCTTTTTCCTTTTGCTTGTTTGTTTTGTTTCTTAAATTCTAAATATGAGTGAAATCATATGGTATTTGTCTTTCTCTGTCTTATTTCACTTAGCCTAATACTCTCTAGCTCCAACCATGTCATTGCAAATGGCAAAATTCCATTCTTTTAAATGGCTCAATAATATTCCTCTGTGT